GAATCGCGATTCGGCGTATGTCGGCTCGCATTAGCCGCGCGTTTGCAGTCTTTGCGTGGTTTCAAGCGTTCAAACATAGGATATGATACTGCTCCTATGCATTAGGGTGGGTGTCAAGGTCACCGGAAGGTCAGGTCAGGTCATTGACCTTTGATGACCTCCGTTCACTTTTTCGAGTTTTATTACTTGTTTCTAGGCTAGTTTTTCGAGCTGAATTTGAATTTAGCAACCATTGAACATTTACTAAGTAGTTTTGGTGCCTTCGTAACATGCTACGAAGCTGTCAGAGGCGGTTGACACGCCTAGTACGAATACTCGGCAGGACCCCTACTGGTTGACCTGACCTGACCTGGCCCGACCTGGCCTAAATGCAAGAAGACATCATCTGTGGTCAAAACTAATATGAAATTCGTGATCAGCACCCCGAAAACCTTACAGCGGCTACACTTTACGACGTTCTAACAGGTCCCGATTTTCCCGACTCTTAGGTCAGTGACTTGACCTGGAAGGACAACCCGATGACCTAGGACTTTAAAATTGGGTATCATCGGCTTTCTCTCGTCACGGGCAACACGCTCGTTTTTTTTTTCCGCGAAGCTCTAGCTCGATCAGGGGCCGAACGCGAGGGGGGTTGTACCCCCCCCCTTGTGCCGTCAAAGGACGCAAAATGGCCTGAGCCGGCGAGTGGCCTGTGCCGGCGCACCGACGGTGGGGGAGGGGGGGGGGGGCAGTTGGTTCAGCTTATTCAGAGTGTTTATTAACCCTCGCCCCGTTGGGGGGGCCATTTTGGCCCCCCCTGTGGTTTTTCCTGAATAGCAAGGAAACGGCGGCGCGCAGCGCCGCCAAATTTTCAGTACCTTCCCGGGCATCAATTTGACACCTTCACACAAAATTTCAAGTCTTAGGTCACCTTAGGTCAGGAGTTATTGAGGTCAAACTGAGGTCATGTTCGAGCAAAAATGAGCAAAAACATGCAATCTTGAAACGCTCACCAAATCTACAGTTATCAAGCAATTTCAAAGTTCTTTATATGGTCTAGTAGACAAAAAGCGGCGCTACAAAACTGCTATCTCGGATTTTCAAAATTTTTGGTTTTTGACCCAAAAAAATCAAAAGTTGATTTTTTTTTGAAAAACTAAGAAAAAATCCAAAATTTTCCCGAATTTCGAAAAAAACCGGAATATATGTGATAGTCCCAGCGCTCTTCTATATACATACCAAATTTCAGATCGATATCTCGTTTTTTGGCCAAGTTATAGCGAAAAAACTGTTCAAAAATGATGACGTCAAATTTTTGAACTCAATTTTTAACGATTCTAGACCACCTACGGCAAAACAAAGACCACCATTGAACTCCCCGTGACGAGCTGCATCGATTCGATACCCATTTTATGCAAAAATATCAACTTTGAAATTTGACCTAATTTGACCTGACCTTGACCTGACCTTGACCTGACCTTGACCAAAACGTGACCTAAGCTGGCCCCAAAGGCTGCCTGACCCACATAATCGCATCTGTCATGTAAAATGGACCATAAAACATGTATCACACGACACTTTCATATTGTGACCCCCCGTGACCTGACCTCTGTGACCTGACCTGGTATCAGTGACCTCAAATAGCAAACTATGTGTTTGAAGAACATTTCCCCATCGATAATTTTCAATGAAATGCATTTTACTCGATTTTACAACGCATTTCTTGAAATGCCTGTAAACGGTGAAAATTGGACCTTTGACCTGACCTGTGACGTCATCGGTTTGACCTAGGTCAATAAAATTGGGTCACAAGGTAGTTCCCCGTTGGGGCTATCCAACTCCGTTTACCGCTTGTCACTATGCTGCGTGGTTCTCGAGATCTTAGGGGGGGGGGGCAAAATGGCCCCCCCCCAACCGGGCGCGTTGCTCGGCAGAGCCCAAAGGGGCGCGGGTTAAGACGTTTATTTTTATTTAGCTATTGGCAATGAGACATTTTTTAAATATTTAGGCATATCCGGTCCCGTAGCTCATTCGGTAGAGCTTTGGACACCGCGTGGTGAAAGCAAGCGTCCCGGTTACAACAGTCCGGGTTCGAAGCGCGACGGGCGCGTGACATGAGCCTTCCCTCTTGACGGTATGGCTGCGGTTGGTGGCAGGCCGTAGCCAGGCGAAGTCAGCGAGGGGACCGGACGTGTGCGGCTATGTGCAACAAATTAACGTTTTGAACACTCATTTAAATAAATAGAAATGAAGCGATTTCTTGAAATGAACCTTTCCTGAAATAATGTTAACCTACTTGTTTTAAAATTTCCTAAAATAATAATTTTCTACTTGTTTTGAAAATTGAAATATGAATAATTCTTTTAAAGCCAAACATAAGCATAGGAACCATGGGTGCAGTGGGTGCAGTTGCACCCACAATAATTCTCTAGTGGGTGCAGACAGTGTATTCTGCACCCACAATAATCTTGAACGAAAACCCCTTTTCTCATCAACACTACTTCCCATGCAGAACGACAAATTCAGGATATTTTCCCCGCTATCCATCTTTCGAAGCATTTGCTACTGTGATGGTCTTCAAAACTTACATTTGTGCTCTAGTAAAAGAAGAAGAAACGGAACACATACCGATGATCCACTGTCAAAAGTTTTAGCGCGGTTTCTTCGAGAATGGCTAGTAAGCCGTTTTACTTTTTGCGGTAGTCAATTCACAGTTGCGTGAATTATTGACATTATGAAATATGTTTCAAAGTCCACTTATCGGTGCCTTTCGACATGGTACACCCTCAAAGCTCGCAATGAGCCTCCGCTCGGGTGCCGCTCCCTACCATGCACCCACAATGTTCCAGCCGTTCCTACGCTCATGAAGCCAAACATCTTTTACTCATTCAGCCGCTTGACAAAATGACTGGATTGATACAATTACGATTAATGACTACCGACGTGCGGGTCGGCAGGATAGGTGTGGCATGTTTGATGTCAAAAGTTGTTACTGAGAAACCGTAAAAACTCCGCATCTTTTTGGAAACTATTCAGCACGAAGCGGAGACGACTGCGTCGCTCTCAGGAATCACGATGTTGACGAGCACGCTCGCATGCTCGCCAGTTATCGTTGTTTATTTTGTCGAACTATACAATTGGCGTATTATTATGGATCCTCCCGCCATCTAACGTGCGCAGCGCGTGTTTCACTTTCATGCGATCAACTCACACGCTTTTATTTTTTTTTTCTGCAAAATATTCTCACAAATAACTCAATAATTGAATCGCATTTATTTTATCGGCTACGGGTTTCCAATTCCATTGAGACACGTGAAATTAATTTGGTCTTCAAAGGTAAGCTTGAGAAATTTGACTTCCTGTCAAGCGCTGACCGGGTGAATGGCCATGGAATGGATTGTCACTATGCACTCATGCATAGTGCATGCCAATCAATCAGGGGCGCGGGAACTATTTTCAGACTGGGGGGGGGGGGCAGTGATAGAGATCAACCTAGGGTACCCCCAAATTTAGTTTTCTCGCTGGTTTTAGGCCACTTATTTTTCATCCCTTGGCTTTTTCAACAAAAAAGAAAACATTTGCAAAAAAGTGCGGTATTCCGTCTTAAAGTTGTGGGGGCACCGCCCCCACGGCTCTAAAGTTAGGGGGGCAAGCTGCCCCCACTGCCCCCCCCCCCGGTTCCCGCGCCCATGCTGAATCAATCTACCCGCACCTTTAAACTCAGACCATCCAAGCCGTTCACTTCTATCTGACTATATACCTACCAAGCACCATCCTGCCATAGTCATTCAGAGCTTAGTACAATAGCATTAGCACTTAGCAGCGGGCTCAACTTAAATGCATCGGTTTATACTTCCCATTGACCCACATGTAAGTTTTCCTTCCAATTCTCGCTTATTATCGCGCACGATGGTTTGCTTATTAGTAGAGCAATCCTAGTTTTGCTGCTTGGAGGCAGCGGCACGGGAACTTCTTCAAGACTGGGGGGCTCAACCATAATAGAGATCAACCACAACCTAGGGTACCCCCAAATCTAGTTTTCTCACCGGTTTTAGGCCACTTATTTTTCAGACCTTGGCCTTTTCAACGAAAAAAAACGAAAATATTTAAAGTGAGGTATTCCGTCTCAGCTGAGTGAAGAAACTACCGTTTTGGCAACCTGGAATAAAGGTTTTAATATGCCCATGAGTTGCCGAGCCAGTGAAAGAGGCGGATTTTTCACTTACATGCTTCCTTCCTTTGTGACCCACAACCCCTAATTTGGGGAGGACAAGCTGCCCCAACGGTTTCTGACCTCATGAAAAGTTGTGGGGCACCGCCCCCACGGCCCCAGAGTTGTGGGGGCCAAGCTTCCCCCACTGCCCCCTCCCCCGATTCCCGCGCCTATGTATGAATCTATGAAATTATGTTGGTAGATTTCCGATTTCGATTCCTCCAGCTGGGGGGGGGGGGGCTCAAATACATTACGAGCCCCCCCAGCCGAAAAGTTGGAGGGGCTCAGCCCCCGCTAGCCCCCCCCCCCCGTTCCCGCGCCACTGCTTGGAGGGGACAGAGGGGTCATGCCGGGGCACACTCACTCGTCGCGGGTATGCACTATCCTATCACAATTTAATCGCGCACTGTTCGATGTTCATTGTGGTGAGTTTGAAAAAGGTACCCTCTGGTGACCAGCTTTTTATATTGATAATAAAACCGTGCTTTTTCCATATTCCTAGTCCTACGGGAATTTCAAGATTGGCGCGTAATGTCGCTGCAGGCTTTGTTTGCGGCTCCCAGCTGGCGGGGAGCTCGCCGCAGGCCCGCACCGGTAGCAGGTCGTTACCTACAAGATCGGTGGCGCCGATCTGCAGCTGCCCCGTCTGTCGTAACGGCCCCAATAATCCCACGTGGTCTCCCGCCGACCCCATCTGAGAACCCCGGCCCGCTGCACGTGGTCGCGCCGCGCGCGGCGCCAGCTGCACGGCAGCCGGGCGCGAAAAGCCCGCCAAAACATACGCGCGCTGATTGGCTAACCGACGACAGCTGCGCGGCGCCAGCCAATCAGAGCGGCCGGACGGCCGGCGTTCGTCTGGGACTTGGCGCGCGCCGCGCCGGCGGTCACTGGCGATCGAGGAGCGGAGAGGAGGGGGCGTGTATGGTGGTGCTGTGTGAGTGGGTGCGTGCCCGTGCTGCCTGAGCGGTCCGCGTGCAATGGAACTGGTCGGAATGGGGAAGATCGAGAATTACAGGAGTGGTCGGTACGGAGGTATGTCGCGGGATGGCGGCCACGGCCGGGACTGCGGAGTGGTCGACACGTGCTCACAGTACTACCGGTCGTACCTCCGCGCCGTGCGCTGGCTCGCCGAGGAATGCGACAAGTACTACGACGACCCTCAGCTCGGTATGGATCGGATCATCAAGGAGATCATGCTCGGCAGAATCAGTCCTAACAACGACGACTACGTGATCCTGGTACCGCTGCACGGGCAGGACCGGCATTTCATGAGCTCCGGCATCAGAGTTGAGGAGAAGACCGCCCGACTGATTCGTGAGGTTCAGCGCGACTTCGATCTACAAAACGACGCTAAGTACTTCGGTCAGTTCAAGACAGCGTGTGGCAAAAGTTTGGATCAAGTCCGGCAGCAGTTCTACATCGACTGCTTCTCAGAGTGCATCCACCCGCAGAGCTCGCGTATGAAGGCAAACACCACCGAGTGCGTCCCAGTCCCATCATCAGAGCACGTCGCAGAAATCGTCGGAAAGAAAGGTAAGCATTTTCGTCATTTCTCCGCCCCCTTCGGCCCACGTGGGGCTCGCACCCCGCCGGCCGCCGCGTTCTTCGCGCCTTTTCGCCGGGTCCGTTGTCCGCCGGCCGCGCCGCGGTGCGGACGCCCGCGGGCCAATTCAAGATGGCGGCGCCCTGTGTCCGGCCGGCCGGCGGACAAAGGGCCTGGCGGGGAGCGGGGCAGCCGGCGCCGAGGACCACGTGGGCCCGACGGCCACCTGGCCGACCCAGTTGTCCTGTATGGGGTCGGCCGGTGAATGGCGCCCGCTTCAGTGGGTGGCAACGCTTTTGTTCGCCATGGGTCGGGTTGTTTGGGATTTTCTTTTGCGGGTTTAGCGGAAGAGGGGATTGTAAAGCTCAGCATTTTTGTTATGGATTGTGGAGGATTGTGTCATGCTGCACTTTTAATTACATTATGCCTGGATTATGAAATGCTGGCTCAGCATTCACTTTGGCTAGTTTCTGCGTTTTTAGTGGACACGTCAAGCGCGTTTGATTGAAAAGGTTACCGTATTCGCGTAGTGTATTTTGCCGTGGCAAGTTAATCCATACACTCTGACTCCGAAGACAATGTGGTTATCGTATCAGGCTTATGTCTCAGGGTGACCTGCCTATACTGCAATCAAATTTTTCAATTTTTACCACACATTGGTGGCTCCGAAATTGGTTAAGAGAGTAACGAACTAGGTTAATACATCCCGAAGAACGTATTTGTCATCGTAATCAATTACTTTCCATCACTAACCGATTCATATAGTCATAATCTCCCTGCAAAATTTGATCAATACGCAGTGGGCGTAAAACCTCCATTCACATTCGGAAAATCACCGGAATGTTATACTTCAAACATTTTTTATTGTCTAAGGGCGAAAATTAGTCAACATACAACTGCTGTTGGTTCCACATTTCAGTCAATTTCTCGACAGTTGGCTATCTGTGACGACTGGTCAGTTCTTGTGTCCGGGTCCCTGTATCTGCGACCCCTATCAGCGGCGCGGGTGGATAAACGCGCGATAAAGCCGTGTCACGTGACCCGCCAAATGTGCGCGCGCTATCCAGTTCCCGCCACAAACACTAGCAGGGGGCGCGAGTACCGTGCCTCATGCAGCACGTCTGGCAAACTTCAAACGTCCCTTGTTGACTTGGGCGGGTGCTCTGTACATCAACAATGGCTGCAAGACCGGGCCCGTCCGGCTCAGTTGCGCAATTTGCAGTTATCGGATGTCCGATTGATAAAAATGAGACCCGGTTCTTGGCGAGCTGGCTGTCTTGTTCTTAGTCCAACACACCTTGTTATTTTCAACTTTTGTTCGCGAGTCGCTGTTCTGTTGCTAGCCAAATTGTGTTAAGACAGTTACGCTTTTTCGTTGTTTTGCGTTATGCCGCTTAGCTTGTGTACGGTTACCATTTCGTCAACTCACGCCCTGCGTGGGTGTGATGCCTCAGTGCCCGGCGATGTGCCTCGTCTGCAGTGAGGCAGCGGTGAGGCATGCCTCCGCGTGGGAGTGCGGGCCGCTTGTCTCCGAGGTCATCAGTGCAGGCCGCTGTTGACGCTGACTGGGCACTTGTTCGCTGACGGGAGATCGATAGATGCGTACGCTGGTCGACGTAATGGGAATCGATGCCGGGCGGCCCGCCCGCCCGCCCCGCGTCGGTTAGGGATGTGTGCCGTGTGGTCTGACTAGCGCGTGGCTGGATTAGGTTATGATACTGGGGGGGGGGGGGGGGTAAGTTGGTCAGGGTTGTGGGGTTTCCGCGGCTCGGGGCGAGATTGGGGTTCATCCGGAGCTCTGGGCTCCAGAGAAGTTTTATTGTTCGCCGTGAGTTAATGTATTCAGCATTCTGTTACTGGGTCGTCCGCTAACTTTGCCGAATCTTTACCCTTGAACTCTCGAAAAGCTAGCTCATTGGAATGTAGGTCTACTCGTTTCTAAATCTGACGGAACCCGCTTATGTATTTTACGGTGGCGGTGGCACGTTGCGTGCATTTCCTAACTATCCGGTCCACACTTCAATGCAGCCCAGACTGCGCTCTTCCTACTCCGTTGTTTTCGACCGGAGGCTCCAGCGACACTTGCGTAACACGTCCGCGCTGCACCGGTGCAGTCCGCCCGTACTCCTCCCCGGCCCGGCGCGGCCGCCCGGCCACCCCACCCTTTGATAAGGACCCGCGCGCGCGCGCCAGCGCCGGCCGCCGCTTGGCGCGCTCGCGTTGTGGCGCGCCGGCCGGCGGCCCACGTGGTCGCCGCGCCGCCGTGAGAGTCGCGCTACCCCCTCCCCTCCCTCCGCCTGCCGTCCGCTCCCCTCCCCTTCCGCGCGCCGCGGCCGCCGCCGTCTCTGTCGCCCTTGAACCCGTGCGGCCGGCGGCGGCTGCATCTGCGGCCGCTGGTGGCCAGCTGCCTCCCGCGCCGCGCCGCCAGGGGACCGGAAGCAGCGCGGCTAATCTGGCGCAGCCGGCGCGCCATGCGCCGCCTCATGGCCGCGCCGCGCCGTGGGCGCCGCGCGCTGCACAAAACTGGTTTGGCACAGCGGCGATTTTCCTTTATGGGCCGTATGGATGTTGATGTGGCGCTCCGCTCTGCACTATGCACGGCGCGGCAGAGCCGGCGCCGCTGGGGCGGTGCCGGTCAAGAGCGAGCGAGTCCGACCGAACTGGGCCGAACCGGGGCCGTAGGTGTCCGGCACAGCGGCTACACGCTACATGGAGGGGCTGGTTCGGCCGTTCCGTGCCTTCCCCTTTTTTTCTCTCCCAGTTTCTCGGAACTCGCCCGCCGGCCGCCACTTGGCATTCGGGCGGAGCGGGCAGTCCGGTTATGTGGCTACGTTTCCCCCGTTCAGCCTTGTAAGCGGCGCCGGTAGCCTTCCCATGGCTGCGCGAGGTCAGGTCCTGCTCTGTTGCCACGCACGTGGTGCCGAGGTCACGCCCCGCTCCGCTCGCTGGGGTGGGTCCGTGTGAGCGGGTAATGAGGGGCTGCCGATATCCCTGTCGGAGGTGTCTGGTCTGGAAAATAAGGGGTCGTAGACGCGCTACCAGGCTGAGAGGCGGGCGGCCGAACACGTGGTCCGAACCCACGTGTCGTTAGACTCATTGCCAGGTTATGCTGGCAGTGGGTACTTCTAGGTTTATTGAACTTCGTGATTGAATTGCAATGATAAAATCTGAATGATTCCCAAGGAATTGCGTATTCTCTTATTTACGTAATTTTGCTCTTCTTCCTCATTTTCCTGAGAGATAAGCTATTTTTTGTAGTTATAATTTTCCTTTGACCAGTAATTGCTCAGCGACATTCGGTGCGACATGTAGCTTATCATATACTCATGGCATCAAAGAAGAAATCTGCTATGAAATTCGGCACTTATCAGCCATGTTCCGTCCATGCTCGTTGAGTGTTCCAAACTGACGTGTGTTTGTCCTTTCCAGGCGGAAAAATCAAGAACATCCGCGCCGAGACCAACACCTACATCAAGACGCCGAAGCGGGATGAAGAGCCGGTGTTCGTCATCACAGGTCAGTCGACTTGCCTGCTCCCTTCTGTTCTGTTTATCAGGTGTGTTTGTGTACTCTAAAAACGTTTCCTTATCGTGAGTTTATGTGGGTCTCAGGCTCAGCCGACTTCGCTATGAGGTTTAAGGTTTTTATGCCCCGATGACTATTTCGAAAAATAGAGAAAGGTATCAGGAATCTTTTGTTCTCAATAGGCAATTACAAAAGCAGGGAGGTCACTTTTTGCTCTTTGGGAACTCTGGTCAGGTCACTAGGCCAAGTGAGGCAACTGCTTTGTAATCCTTTAAATCATACATCTTATTTCCCAGAAATTGACCCGTGGTCAGGTCAAATTCGTGACCTCGTTATTGTAAATTATAAAACATTGGCTGGAATTGTCAGTGCTCCTTGCCCTGAACAAACTGGCAATATTCAAAAACCGCAAGATAGTTTCAGAATGACATCTGTACGGGCTCAATGGGGCATGGGCAGGTGCAGCTTATGGCCAGCAGTCACTCAAAGGTCATGTCAGGTCATGTAAGGCCACTACCAGTTTGTGACCATAACCATGCTAGGTAAGAGATGCTAGAGCGATCACAGCTTTTTGAATGTGTTAAGTGTGGCAACACAGATCGGCTGGTATATACAGCATGATTATTTTCTTTTTGTAGCATGATCTTTTCTTTCAGGTCACGACGTTGATCAATGCAAAATTTTTGGTTGAGCTTTTGTGGCTGTAGTCCGTTTAAGTCCATTGGAAGTGTCTCGACGTCGGATGTAGACGTTTTTCGCCCAATGTACTCACCATGGTGATCTTGGCCGAGACCCTCTTGCGCGGGGCAGCACCACAAAGAATGGTTACATTTTGTTTATTACACCCCTTTGAATCGTATTTTACTTGGGTTTCTACGATTTATGCTTGACCAATGTTTGGGTGAACCCCGCTTTGGCGTCAAGACTTCCCTGTCTTTGAGGAAGTGCAGGTTGAAACGGTTCCATGTCAAATCTAGGCGTAGTTTGGTGCAATATGCTCACATGCGAACATGCATATGTATTTTTGCTAGACCTATCAGTTTTGTTGCAACTTAATCCGAAAATATAGTTGAAGGAAAAATCGATGTCGGCCATTGATGCTATCGCGCAGCGGCACTTAGTAATAACTCCTTGCATGCTTGATTTTACGATTACTTTGCGCTACAACTTCGAGCATGTGATATGTCTACCGTTATCTTGACATTACCTTCAAAATATATTCATGTACAAACTTCTTTGCAAAAATGTAAAATATTCAAAACAATCAACGCGATGATTCAGAGCGCTTTCCCACCTTCCAGTCTATGCCCCCACCCCCTCGATTTCCACGCCCCACCTGCCCATAACGAGTGCATCGATTCCCATTCCTGGAATGTCTGAGTTGGTCCGGTGGCGTAAATAGTTCCGCTGCCGTGTTGCCCTGCCGCGGGAAGGAAGAGCTAGGTCACTCATTGTGACGCTCGGTTTCCCAGAAATGCGGCTCTGTCCTTGCATAGTGTTTGCCTCAATGAGGTTATTGTCAAATGATGTTTGATAATAGACGTTCCCGAAAGACGTTCGTTACCTTGATTACGTCAAGTTTTTTTTGTTTAGTCGTAGTCCAAAGTTGACAATCTACATATGAAACAGGAAGCTGATGTATTTCTTCGCAGCATTTCAATAGATAATTGTCGTTCCTAATGTTTCCTTTGTGCTTTTTTTTTTTGCTCATGAAGTCTCGTGCTCGTTGTTTCTTGACGTTTTATATAGCTGTGGTATGAACCGACAGCTCCCGCCATTTGGGCGCTAAAAACTCCAACTCATCAATGCTTGCCTTCTGAGGAAGGAGAAGGGTTATACTTCTTATCTTCACACACCTCAAAGAGCCCGTGTTTTGAGGGACACGGCCAACTAGCCACACGGACATGCTCCAACACGTCTGTGTCCTTGTGTTCCAGGTCGCAAGGAGGACGTGGCCTTCGCTAAGCAGAAGATCCTGGCGGCGGCCGAGCATTTCAGCCAGCTGCGCGAGGCGCGCCGCCAGAACCCGGGCGGACCCGCCCCCGCCCTGGGGCCGCCCAAACGCGACGGTGACGTCACCATCCAGGTAGAGGTGCCGTACGAGTTCGTGGGCCTTGTGGTTGGTCAGAAGGGCGCCACCATCAAGCGCATCCAGCAGGACACCAACACATACATCACGACGCCGTCGCGTCGCCACCGGCCCATCTTCGAGGTGGTCGGCCAGCCGGATGACGTGGAGACGGCCCGTGAGGCCATCACGGCGCACATCAGCAGCCGCGTCGACAAGTTCCGCAGCGAGGCAGCTGCGGCGGCCGCCAACGGTCCACCGGGCGGCCCGACGGGCTACGGCGGCACCACCAGCATCGGGAGCTTCCTGGGCATCGACGACTCGGCGTTCGCGACGCCGCCGGCCGGCGCGGAGTCTGGCATGTTCGGATCCTACGGCAACACCAACCTGGGCGGCACGTGGACGGGTGTCCCGCCGCCCAGCATGCCGCCACCGGTGCACCGGTACGCGCCGCCGCCGCCGCCGCCCCCGCCGGCGCCGGCGAGCGGTAGCGGCAGCCGACTCAGTGCCTTCCGCAACCTGCAGCAGCCGGACGGTCTGGAGACTCTGAGCGCCAGTCTGCGCGAGCTGGCGCTGGCCGACCCGTGGCAGAGCGACAGCCGCGGCCGCACGGCCAGCCTGCCGGCTGACCCGGCCGACGCGCCGTGCAGCCGACGCGGCTCCGAGGAGTCCACCAGCCACGCGCTGGACCTACTCTTCTCGCGGCCGGGCCCGCTCGGCTGGGACGCCGGCGTCATCAGCGCTCCACTGCCGGCCGCCAAGGGATCCAGCGAGACGCTCAACTCGGACTCGGGCGTCGAGACGACCACGCCGCCGCCTCTGGACGGCTTCTTCGGACCGATCGGCTCGAAGCGGACCAGCCCGACGGCGGCTCTGCTCGGCGGCTCGTCGAGCCCGATCGCCGCGCTGCTGGGAGGTTCGTCGAGCCCGACATCTGCGCTGCTCGGCTCCGACTAGCCGCTGCCGTCACCGCCGCCGTCGCCAGCGGCGGCCGCGGCGGTCTCGGCGCTGAGCTGGGCTTCATAAAAGACACAGCGACTCGGCTGGTCACCGGCCGGCCGGGCGCCGTAGACATTTTTACATTTTACGTGTAGCTCATTTGTAAAATACTCACCGAGTGACCTGCCAGTGCCGGGGTGGCGGCCGCGCCCGCGAGCCGGTGGTCGCACGGCGTGCCTCGCCGCCCATCGGCGGCGTCGATATTTCTGTTGGCCGCGCCGCGGCTGGCGAGCGGCCAGCGTCGCTCGGCTATCGACCGGCCGACGGCGGCGACGGCGCCGGTTCTGCAGTGCGGCCGCCGGTCGTCCCCTGCCCTCCCTGCTCCCCCTCCCCAGCCCCGCTCCCCCTCCCCGTCCCCACCGGCGCCGTCGGCCGGTGCTCAATCACACCACATATCGCCTCGGAGCTGGGCACGGCGCGAGCGCGCCCGACCAATAGCAATATGCTGCCGCTTGGGCTCCCGCGGCTCGGTACCTTCTTAGTCCCCCCGTCCCCCTCCCCTCATCCTCCCATTCTCGTTTTCCGCGGCCGACCCAGACGGGCCAACCCCCGGGGCTGGCAGGTCAGAGCTAATTTTGTACCCGACACATTCGACTTTGACATTTAATTCAATCAGGAATGCATGCTGTTATATATACGAGAACGTATACGTCATATAAAATGAGCCACAAAAGTATTTTATTTTCGTACACAGAATCGATATGTGTTGTGGTCATGCGTGTTGTGGCAAATTATTTTCCTACAAAGTTGCTGTAAACACATTTTAAAGAGTGTGACATCACATTCTAGGATAGGTGTTGCTTTTTATGTGACCGCGTCTCACCTGCTTTGGTTGCCCGCCTAGTACTTAGTCTTCCAAAATCGGTGTGGTACCATTTCTTTGTCCGTTTGAATGTTCGACCATAATGCCAAGCTTCAACTATTGCGGCCAGCTAACTTTGTCCCTTGATGTGCGAAGCTCTGTGTCCTTGTACTCACTATAGTCCTGGTCATTTTGTACTTTTTTACCAAACGTACGGTGGTGACGTTATTTTGCGACACGTCGTATGACTATCAGGCAATAAGTGGGCCTTTGCGGGCGGACGGGCGGGCGCCGGTCAGTGCCGCCACGGGTCGTGCCTGGAGCCGCCTCTGTCGGGCGCTGGCGCGGTCTGACGCCGCCACTGCCCCTGCCGTCTCCGGCCGGGGGTGGCAGGGGGCGGGGGCGCTCTGCCATAGCTCGCGCCGGCTCAGTCGCTCAGTCGCCGCCGGCCGGTGGCTACTTCATTGGGCCAATCACAATGCTGCGTGGTACAGTATTTTACTACCTTAAAATGTAAATATCTTATGAGAGTTACTCCTGTGAATGTTTACATGCGTGTTAGAAAGCTCAGCGCGGACGTTGGTGGCCATTCTTTGAAACACTTTATTCTTCAGCATATTAAAATGATAAAATACTGGGAAAGTTGCAGTACCTGAGGCATAATTTATTGTTAAATGTATATTATCCGGTTGGTTGTCCGCGCGGTATCACGGTCTTCGCGTCGCCATAGCCTATTTCTGTACATTCCAGATTATATATTGAACAAATTTATCGAACAAATGCAATGTGATTAATAAAATCCCGTCGAATTACTGAATACCTAATGCCGTATATGTGAAGCGCTGTGCAAGTGTAACCTTTCTCGGCCACCAACGACCGAGCTGCCCAGTTGAGAGGTTTTGTTGCGTACAAATAGAAACTTCTCAATGTTAAGTCTTGCTCAGTTAAACGCAGGGCTTGTCGCTACCCGAGATTGAGCCTTGAATATATTTTTATTACCGATGTGAAATGTATTTTGGCGCCTCTGCTTATGAGACTAGCCGCGTGGTGTACTTATTAATATGCGTTGATTTTTCACATTTGCTATTGTTTTATGTTCCGAGACGTAGCGGTGGCAAATGTTAGATTCTTCTCTTGTCCTGATGAGCATGCGGTCGGTACGTCTTCTGACGTTTGACAGTGTCCACCTTGAGAGCTCTCGACATAGCAGTGCCACGTCGTCTTAGTATATGGTCTCAGAATAAACAACCTTAGTCAGCTGTGCGTTTGGTGGACGAATGGAGGGGGCAGAGAGAATGCGGTTGGACGGGGGATGAGCGCGGTTCGGGTAGGATCGAAAGAGGTGAATAACAGCAGAAGAAGAGATCAGGGTTCGTGTTTACAAGCGGATTGTGCCGCGAACCCTCTGAGCACAGTAGATTCGGAGGTTACTTCACAGCTAGGGATGGTGGTGAAAACAAGGAGACATGAGACTGGGCGCCAAACTGCGAGAGACACGATGTGGGGAGGGGAGCAAACGGCAGGAGACACTGAGCCAACGACAGGAGATAATGGATGGGAAACCAACGAAAGGAGACACGGTGTGGGCAGCCGACAGGAGGCACTGGGTGTGGGGAAGGGAGTCAAAGACGGGAGACACGGAATGAAGGAGTCGACGACAAGAGACGCGGGATTGGGAAGCCAATAACAGGATACTCCAAATTGGGGAGGAGACAATGTGGGGAGCTAACGAGAGGACCAGAGGAGACACAATGTGGTGTGGAGCCAACGACATTAGACACTATGTGGTGAGCCAACGACAGGAGACGCCGGGGAGTCAACGATACGAGACACTGTATGTGAGGAGGGGAGCCAACACCAGGAGACACTGAATGTGGAGAGCCAACCCCAGGAGACGCGGGTTATGGGGAGGGGATCGGCAGCGCATGGATCGATGCACTTACGTGAGCTAATGATGCCCACTCCCAGCCAGTCGGCAGGGCGGGGTAGACGATGACATCCAGCGGATCACGTATTTGCTCATTGATATTCGATATGGCAGTTACAGTTGGAAATATTATTTCTGCATGTGCGTCGTACCTAATGAATTATGTGGTACAGACACGGACTGCTACCCTTTCAGGAGATAAATTACTCGCTTGTGCGTCGGTTAACATGAATCTGATAAATTATCGCAATGTTTTAATTTTATTTCGTTGAGACGTCTATTCGCCAGAAATGTGATGCATTTATCGAAACCTCAGTTCGAAGTAGCTCAGTAATGCGTCCGTTTTATATCGCACTTTTTGCCCCTTTGCATCCGATGCAAAGGGGCAAAAGGTGCAGCATCGGATGCACTTTTTGCATCCGATGCTGCTAAATTTTACTGCAAACATCAATCTGTTTAGAAAAAAGAATCGATGGGCACAAGTCTCGTCGTTCGCCTCGTCGCCTACGAGACTCGTCTCTTGGTTTGAGGTGAAATCAATGGATGTTCGCCGTTAGCGGTCATACACAAACGGCCTCAAAATTTGTAAACAAACCTTATGATGACAATGTCAGTGGTCCTTGGTATTTTCGAGTCGTATTGCTCGCTCAATTGAATTTAACCCGCGCCCCACTGGGGTCTGCGTATAACACGCCCTACGGGGGGGGGGGGCTATTCATAGCCCCCCTCCTAACTCCGAAACTACTGGGCCGATCGTCAAAATTCAAACGGCGTCTGATAGCCCCGGAAAAACTGTCGAACGAAACCTAATTTCATTAACCTCGAGGTCACCGATGACGTCACAGGTCAGATCAAAGTAAAAATTATTACCATTTTGGCTTGTTCACGTTTTGGGCTCTGGCCGCCGTCTTACAAGTCAGATCAGGCTCATTTTTGGATCACACACTCGTGAACAGATGCTCTAGATACCCTGAGGGTACCAAACTTGTACTTTGATTTTCAGGTCAAGGTCAGGTCATCACAGGTCACGAAAATATTATATCATGTGTCGGTCACGTGACACATGTTTTATGGTCCATTTAGGTCAGAGATTTCGAATTTGATGTCGTCTGTGTCATTCGAGGTCATTTTGAGTCGAATTTAGCTTAGGTCAGGTCACTTTCAGGTCAAAAAGGTCAAATTTTGAAGTTAAAATTTTTCAACAAAAAAGGTGTCTATTGGATGCAGTTTGAGCTCAGAAACACGATGGTGCTATTTATATTGGCGTACGATGTCAAATACGTGCTGAAAAAATGATTTGAAAAATTGATAATTGTGGATTTTTTGCAATAATGCGTAGAGTAGAACTTGGCCATTTTTGAAGATATTTAGCTTAAACTTGCTAGAGTTAGTCATAATAATACGTTCTATCACATATGTTCCGGTTTTTCGAAAAGTCAAAAACGTTTTGAAAAAAATGTAAAAATATAAATTTTGGATTTTATTATATTAAATTTTCCAAATTTTCAAAATTTCGAAAAATCCGAGATATCAGTTTGATAGCGCATTCTATTCTGAGTCCTCTCATGCAAAGAAATTGGATCTAGCTTAAAAACTGTGGTCTTGGGAGCGATTGCCGTGGTTCAATGTTTTGCGTCGAAATCGGCCGAACATGACGTCACTCTGACGTCATTTCCGGCCGACCTATAGTAGTTACGAAGTACAAATTTTGACACAAGGTGTCAAATTGATGCAGCCCCAGGTACTGAAAGTTAAGCGTCGATACGTCAAGTGGTTTGGAAGTTATTGCAGAAAAACGGGAGGGGTGGCTATGAATAGCCCCCCTCCCCCCCCCCCCCAGTGGGGCGCGGGTTAAAGGAGTCCTGTTTTTTTTTTTTAGATAAATAGCCACGGGAAAAATCTGCAATAAAATTCGTAGGCATGCTTGCTGAAGATGAGTAATGAATATGCTTCATGAACAATAAGAACACATACCTATCATGTGCATTGTGCTAGGAACTACCTATATTGTCCAATAACTACCCATGCACTCGAAGTTTCGTTATATGTATTTCAGGTAGTTACTGCGCATTCGCCATTCCATTTATTCGCAGTCTGATCCATAGGCGGCGGAACGGCGAGCGCACCGGGGCACCGTGCCCCCTTTGATTTTGGCATTTTAACATTAGCCCTATGGGCGTTGCATGGAAAGAATGGGACCAAAAGTCGGCAGTGCCCCCCCCCCCCCTTAATTGAAGGTGTTCCGCCGCTACTGCTGGATATCCAAAGGTTACCACTCTCCTGGTACGCATACGGCGTAACCAATTGTGCAGGCATGAGCGGAGTGGTCCTACTCAATGCCGAGCTAGCAAATAAGGCATCTCTATTTTATTTTCCGGTAGGAAAACCTGCCAAGTGGCATGTGACTGACGTTTCCAGAGTTTTGATGTCCGAATTACGTAACGATTATGCATAGCCTGAATTGCAGGCCGAAGGATACCACTATATGTAGATATGGGTTAGAAATGTATTGCATTGCATACGATAATCATCCGTGCGACGCATTGCGCAGAGTGTCCATGCCAATGGTATACGCACTACGCAGTTCTATTGAATGAACTGTATGTTTTGTTTCATCATTTTCAATAACTTTATTTGCTTTATCTGCTTCATTAATTGAAAACAAATATTCACATCTAGCAAAACATATCATGTAAGACGTAACACGGTACTGATTGTAGTCGGAATCTCGGAAACCTTTTTCTCAGGACTGTCTGGGGACCCTGCGATTATATCAGGTCAAGAAACAATTAACCATGCAACGTAATCCCTAATCGCCAACTTAAGGGTCCTCTCAGATTACCGAGGTTATTGAACGAACAATGAACATGCTGATGACGGCATTGGGTTCATATCACCAATGACCGCTTTCCACGTGGACGTCACAGTAAACACATTGCACAATGACCTTTGACGTCATTTTACCAAAGACTGCTCGTATACCAGCGTTGGGTTGGCGCAAATTCTCGGCAGCATTTTACTCCACCGCGTGGTTCACGGGTTTCGGATGGCTTTGGTCGCGCAGCCCGAAGTCGGGCCAGCCACTGCGGCTGTTGCCATGAAGCTGCAGTATCGACCCGGCCCGGGTAGAGGAGCGGCGCAGACGGGTAGAGGGACGGCGAAGACGGCTCTATTTTCATTATTTATCTCGAGCGACCATTCCATGCGCTGGGCGGCGTTAGAGCCCGTGGTGTAAAGTTGAAGCTGGCGATAAAAAATTCATCGTGTGTTGCAATATGGTTGGCGTTAGCAGGGCGTTTACTGAGACGATATTATATTGACGTGCTGTGCTCGTACCTTTTCATCTATGTGTATTGTGTATAACAATTGCCCAGCCGACATGACCATTGACCATGGTCTTCCATAAGGTCTCAGCGGATATAAACAAAGGGTCAGTTGATGTGGCATCGACAATTGCATGCTGATAACTTAGCATCTATAAACATCATGCTGCATGCACATGCTTTTCAGCTACTTTGGATCTTGCTGGCGTTTCAAACTAGCCAGTTCATGGTCTTGTAAGTTGTAACTCGCATGAATATTGAATAGGCTGAGTGAACTGAAAATAGTCTGAAAACATGGATATAGGGAGCTGAATGGGAGGCTCGACAAAACAGGCGCTATAGCCCTCGCCCGCACATGGGGGGGGGGGTTGCCACCCCCCCCCCAGGTAGTCTTTCTGCTCTGCACCCAACATTTTTAGAGCTAGAAGGCTGATTTTTCGTATAGCTGCTCCTCTATCCTTTCTTGATGTCCACTGAAAATTTCAAGTTTCTGTGGTTTTTGGTTTCGGAGATATGACCTTGTTTTTCAGGTCATGTCATGACCCAAATGGCCAATTTTCAACATCTTGCGTTGGCTATGGGCCTTGTGAGCTTCTGACACCTTGATTTCGGCCTTTTTTGCCAGTCTTACCTCCCACCTATCATGGAACATGTTGTTCGACGATGTACAGATGTCAGGGTCAAGGTCAAGGTCAACCTAGGTCATCTAAGATAATTGCGTTTTAGGCAAGCGGAATTTACTTTTTGTGAATTTTTTTGACTGCATTTTTGGTAAAAGCTTCTCAGATCATGATTTCATGTAATATGGACACATAAACAATCGGTGCACACATCAGTATACACACAGACACACACAGACATACAAACACATATAATTGACCTTGACCTAACTTGACCTGAAATGACCTCAGCAGCAAAAACCTGGTCGGGTAGTGTGACAAAGAGGTTCTAGCTGGCTTGGCACCAGAAAACGGCATCGTCATCGGTATATGATAAGCAGCGCACTT